AATCAGAAATCTCATTCTGTGTATTTTGCAAGATAATTATTCTGTACATATTATTGCAATAGCCCAAACTCCCTTTTTATGACCTTATAATCCCTATTTGGGGTAGAGTCATGGTGACTGGATAATGTTGAGCATTTACTGATCAGATGCCCATCCTGACACCTATCTGGAGTTCACAGCAAATATTTTTTTCATAGGAAGAGAAACATCTGTCATTACTAGGATTGAACTCTTAGCCTTCCAAGTGAGAGACAAGTATCTTCACTGCCAGGCCACCACGCTGCTTGTTATTGCAATAGGGTAGTTATATTAAAAAGTAATTGCCAGCTTTCATAAAATCAAGGAATGTTAATGTAGCTTCCACTACACTTACAACCCAGGCAGTTTAAAATGGTCTTTGAAACCAGTATGAATTTCTGAAGGTATCTATAACATGTTTCATCTCAGAAGGAACTAAGCTTGGCTGTTTGTGGGCAATTATGCTTAGAGATGTTTGGGGAAGGTATATATATGCACACATGGATGTGTTCTGTACCCAAGCAACACTCAAATGTGACTCCCATTTCCAGTAAGATTTCACCAATGGGGAAATGCAGGGTGAAATAGCTTACCATGGCTGCCTCCCATGTTGATTGGGAACCATGGGTTAGGGGAACTGGGATTTCTCCAGTCATCACTGAAGAAAAAGCAGGAAAAGACAGCTCTGTGTGAAAGTAACTCAGAAGCCAGTGATGGTGAGCCTTTGTCTTACTGTTTGCCAAAATTCCACGCGTGCGCACTATCACACACACACACACACACACTCAATCTCGCACATGTGCGTGTGCTTCCCCCACATGTATGTGTGACCCCCCTCCCAAGGCTCTGGAGGCTTTCCTGAAGCCTGGGGAGGGGGAAAACCCCTTCCCCCCCACCCCCTCGGAGGCCCTCCAGAAGCCGGAAACAGATCATATCTGAAGTTCCGGCTGGCAGTTGGGGCCGTTTTTTGTGGCACCAAATTTGGCTCCGCGTGCCACGCGTGCCATAGGTTCGCCATCACGGTCCTAAGCTATGATAGTAATGCTGGTGAGAGTACAATCCTAGATAGCGACATGTTTTGTCAGGGAACAACTACATCTTACGTTGTATAATTTTTTTCTATAAAAAGTAATTTCTGCAGCAGATAGCAACACTTAGTTAATATGAGGGGAAAAACTAAGAAGGTTTGGACTTGATAAATACTTGTATGGATGACCAAGAGGCATGGTTGTAGGCTAGATGAGCAAGTTAACAATATTTTTGAAAGAAGGCACTGACAATGGCAAATCGATACTGCTTCCAAGTGTGATATGTGGATTGGGTTTTATACTGTGATTATGCTCTGTATCTCGGAACCAGTAAATTGGATAAGTTTATTTGCTAGGGGAACATCAGCCATTACAAGCTAATTTTCCCAATAATCCACCTTGCAGCATTTTCCATCCGTCCCATGAAAACAAATAGGAAATAATTATATAAGCTGTACAGATGAAATAGAATCTCATGCTATGCTACTGTGCTGCTCCTCTGTAATATCTGGTCAGTACCATCTTTCCCCTGGAGGCCAAATGTTAGGGAGGAGGAGCTTTGTTAAATTTATATGTGCTCCTTGTGGGTCTGACCTTTGAATGCTAGAAAAATTAGAAAGTTAATTGAAGTCAGTCGAATTGTTTTCAGCTAGCATTAGAGACCCTGTAGGTTTATTACATTGTAATTATAGAGATTCATTATTGTTCAATCTCAGTTTCATTTTGATATGGGAATTTGGTTTCCTTTTGAGCTTGCGTTTGGCAAATAGTCCTTTGATTATACACAGATAATAAATTATAATCTTGTTGCATATCTTTGTAAAACTACTTGATACATTTGCTCTGTATTCTTTTTCCATTCTCTTTTTAAAGAAATACATAGTTATAAATTTAAATGATGGGCAGTCAATATTTTAAATCCATGTTTTGAAAAAGTATTGCAGCATTTTGGCACATTATATATACTGCCACATAGATTTTGCATGGTGCATATATTAGAATAATGTAACTTGAAGACATGGGATATAGGATACCTTGCTGATTTTGTTAAGGGCCTAGATGGGGACCGACTTAGGAATCCTTAAGGTAAAGGTTCCCTTCGTACATATGTGCTAGTCGTTCCCGACTCTAGGGAGCAGTCCTCATCTCCGTTTCAAAGGCAAAAAGCCAGGGTTGTCCAAAGACTTTTCCGTGATCATGTGGCCAGCATTACTAAACACCGAAAGCGCACGGAACGCTGTTATCTTCCCATCAAATGGTTCCTATTTTTCTACTTGCATTTTTTTAACATGCTTTCAAACTGCTAGGTTGGCAGAAGCTGGGACAAGTAACGGGAGCTCACTTCATTACGTGGCACTAGGAATTCAAACTGCTGAACTGCCGACCTTTGTAATCGACAAGCTCAGTGTCTTAACTGCGTCCCTCTAGGAATCCTTAGGTCACATTAAATGTACCTTGAATGCTTTTGTGAAAGAATAGTGACCAAGAAAAATTAATGTACTGCATGCCTCTAAGAGAAACTATGGTGGTTGGCAGCCTCTAGCTTGCAGAGTTTGATCATCTTGGACACACATTTAAAACAAAAAGCAAAGGAATTTTAAGTTAGCAATAGCAAAATTCTGACAACTGTATTAGGATAAAGTATTTTATTAAGCCAATTCAAGAGTACAAATGAGAGTACTTTTGAGTTCTCAGGAAGGGAGGATGAAGTCCACAACAAAAAAGCTGGAAGAAGAGATGTTTAAGTCTATACATTCAAAGCCATATGAGGTAACTCATCATTCTGAAGCATGCATTTTAAGCAGTTGATTGAACAAAGTAGTAGGCTGCTTCTCACATGGTGCTACTTATAAGCCATGGCTCATAAACAGAGTCTCATTGGGTCTTTATTCTGTACTACTAAAAATAAACACGCTATAGCTTAGTTATAATTTGTGAATCCAGCCGTAGATTTAGATGGAAAGGTGCCCAAACTGAAATCAAGCTTGAGCATAGGTTGAGATGTTTTCCAAGCCGTAGTTAAGACAACTGGGACTGTTGGGTTGATGAAACAAGCACATTTTAAATATTTATGAAAAATAGAAAATTTAGTTACTTCAAACTAATCTTCATAATTAAACAAGTTCCTTCATGGTCTCACTGAAATGTTTAAAGTCCTCTGAATCACTATGTTTGTTGGCAATTAGAAACTCTTTATGGACTTTTTGTCTAAAAGAGAATAGATGAAATTGTGATTTATGGTTTTGATTAGCTAGGATAGATCATGAAGAGAGTTACGATATAACTTTAGAGAGAGAAAAAGGTCAGTTTAAAATTGTAGTTGCTACTGTAGAGAAGATCAGAAGCCACTTCCTTATATCACTTTCTTTTCTATTTTTCTGCTACATTTTCTTTTTGCATCTTTAGTTTTTCTTTATTCTTTTGACCCTACAATATTTTAGTTTGTAGTACTGCCATCCTGATGTTTAATTTTTTTTATTAAAAATGTATGTCTATAATTTATTATTGGTATTTTCTGATAGAAGGGGTTTGATCCACAATTAGCTCATCAATGGAATGGGAATGGGCATATATACATACACATACATACACAAATCTCACTGGCGCGGCTTTCCATCCTTCCAAGGTGGGTAAAATGAGGACCCAGATTGTTGGGAGCAATATGCTGACTCTATAAACTGCTTAGAGAGGTCTGCAAAGCACCATGAAGCAGTATATAAGTCTAAGTGCTATTGCTATACTCCAATAAGTTGAATCTCGATGAAGTTGCCTATACTGGAGGATGCTTTTCCTGGCCTCTTAAAATGCTACTTGCTGAATTGAGCTCTTATTGTCAAAAGTGAAAGCAACACAACGTACGCACTCAAGCAAAGTGCATCTCCTTAGCATTCATTGTTTCTTTCAGTCAGTTCAATGTGTTACATTTTCCCCTCCAGGAATGTATCCAGAATAGAAACTACAGAAAAGAAATGAAAGCTAAAGTTGAAGATTTGGATGAAAAAAGCAGCCTCCTTCAGGCCAAAGAGGATCTTGAAGTAGGGCCACTTCAAACACAGATTACAGGACATGCATCTGCTTCCAGCTACAGAAAGCCTGAACGCTCAGAAGACCCTGTTAGTACAGCAAATACATTTCAGCCTGGAGCCTGGATGCCTCCTGACCGTAAAAAATAAAAGCCCCCCCCCCCACTCCGTGCAAAGCATCAGGAAAGAGGCAACATTTGGTTAATGAGCAACATGAATGAAGACACTTCCTGAAAAATTCCAAGTTATACTTAAAAGCTTAGCAGCATTTTCAAAATGCTTAGATTCTGCCGTTTCTTGTGGAAATGTTTAATTGCTTTTTATAAAATGTCCCATCTCTAATTCTTTTGCCTCTTAAATCATTTGATAATGTTTTCAGTGAAGTTATGCTTCAATAAAATTTAATGCTGCCATAATCATTACAGATGGTGTATTACATGACTGTATATATTCTAGCTGTTAATTAATGTTAAGAGGGTGTGTATGGCAATGCTATGCATGCAGTTATTCTCTTTAAACCTGTCAAACTATTATAACTTCTCATATTCCAAACTGCTTAATGAAATTTAGTCATTCATGAGAGTTCGCAGCTTCTCCTAACATATTAAAAATGATTTGTTTATGGAAGAAGATCCAAAATGTTGCTTATGAAAAGCTATATTTATTTGCTAATTTTGTCTAATAAGATTTTGACAAGGTTCTAAATGTCACTAAACACAATAAATAATTATTAGGACGGGACACATTACAGTTAAAAATTTCCATTGTAAATAAATGTCAGGACTTGTGCAAGTTAACAAAACTAATTTAAACATTGTTTATTTAAAGTAGAAATTTAATGTTTCATAGCTTAACAAATCAGTAACTGTGCAATCATGAGCATATTTAAATGTCCTATAATTTTGTTTAAAATGCATATTTGTGCTTGACATCCTTTGCATCAGGAGATATAGTCACTAGTAGAGTTATTAGCTTCCTATCCTACATAATCCCTAACTTTATTTTTATACCAGTAAACCAATGTTGGTTTAGTAGTCATAATTTCACCAAACCAATGTTATAGGTTAGATACCTCTTTTATGTTATAAGTTAACTGGATGTAAAAAAAATAGGCTTCAGAATGTTACAAGATTTTCAAAGATGAGCCTAAGAAGCTTTGGTTTTTGAAGAGTTGAAAACAGGAATTGACTAGAAATATATAAAAGAAATTTCAGGGTGCTAATTATTTGCCCACCAGGCATCAATTGTTGCCTTCAAAGGCAAAGTATTGACTTAATAGGGAGCCATAATTTAGAATGAGAAGCCTCTGTAGCAACTTTGTAACAGCAGCCACACAGGGCTTGCTACAGGGAAAATAATGCTTGTCATTTGGCCTGAACTGGCCAAGATTCCCTAAAATTTGCCTTCAGTCTGCTTTAGCTGAACTAATAAACACGTGAGGGCATTTGTAACCATTGATTCTGGTTGTTAAAAGACTTAGTGATTGCCTACATTCATTCACTATTGCTTTGTCCTCAGAGCGTAGCCACCAAGAATATAATGTAACACAAATGAGAAACTATTATCCAACACCCATGGTTTATGCACAGACTATTCCAGTAATCATATTTTACGTTCTTTTCCCCCCAAAACATTTTGTAGATAAGGTTGCTCTCAGTTACATTTAACAAGAAGAATCTTTTGAATGATAATTTAAGCTATCATGGATTGTATAATTGAAACAATCTGGTTCTTACAAACCATTATGCCAAGGAATAGTGAAAATACTGGTTTTCAGTGTGAAATTGGGATTCTTCACAATGTAGGAAAATTTTACAATACAACAAAATTATATGAAAATTATTAAACAATTACTTTCCATGGTATAAAATTATAAGACAGATTTTAATGGAAATAATAATTTGTATCTATATAGTTATTACACATGTATTATAAACTTACATTTTGCTTATATCCCAGGTTAGAAAAAAAAATCGGGAGGAGACTTCTTAAAAAAGCAATTAAAGTTCATTACCACAGAAGTTTAATAGCACAAATTAAGGATACATTATTCCAGGAAAAAGATCTGTCATCTTTCTGTAAGGATACAACAAAAAAAAGGTACACATACAGTAACAGTGCATTTCCAAAAAAAATCGGCCTAGTGAAATTGAAGTCTTAGTCCTTCTTTATTCGTTTAGCTTTTGTAATGTTTTCTTGGCGTTTTTGTTTCTTTTTTTTGTTCCCGTTCCTTAGCTTCAATCATTTTTGCCAGTTTCCATGATAGCACCGCACTTGCCAAGAATAGAGGTGTTAGAGCAAGGATCACTGTTGTAAGGAATCCATATGGATCTTTTGCAGCCCATTCCACAATATACTCAGCCCAAGATTTGATATTTTCAAACATCCTTCTTGCTACCTAATAGGGGAAAATCCTGAAAAAGAGAAAGTAATACTATTATTTCAC